TGTAATTGACTTAATCTTAAGATATAATTTTGATATATCAAATTTTTATATCATTTATTTATTTAAATTATGCTTAATTTATAATCAAAGAATCTCACTGTTTGACCAGGAAATTCAAAACAGGAAATGTTTTTAGAACCGGAGAGAATATTTTATTTATTTATTTATTTTTTTACAAATAAGTGCCACCAGTTCCAACTCCAATGGAAATTTGGCATTTTCTTTCAAGTATGTTAACAAAATATAAATAAACAAAAATTGCGTTTAATAGATTTAAAAGCGTCCAAAAAAAGAGACAATATTACTTTCTTTTTGGAATGGGATGAGTAAGAAGAGAGAGGGAAAAATTCTTATAAAATTGAAATGACAAAATAGAAATGAAAAATGGAGTAATGTGAATGTCAGGCCAATTGTGGAGAACTTAGAAATGAATTTCATTTTTTTATATCGAAAAATGAATCAGAACAAGCAATAAAACAAGTGTTATGAGAATATTTTATGGAGTCCTCCATCCCGTACCGGCCAGTCCCGCCCAATCATTTAAAATGGCCCTGTGCAATTAAATATTTTAGGCCTCAATTTTTTGTTAAAACAAAATTTGTGATAAACCAAAGTACTAACATTAACGTATTAGTTATTTCATTTAACATAATAAACTTTAAAATTTTTCCAAAGAAAGTAAAGTGCATATACAGACATACTAAAATACAATGAAAAAGGGATATGCTAGGTTTAAACCATTGGTATATACTACTTGACGGACACACACGGAACAAGTAAATGTCTATGTGATAAATCTTATATTTAAAAATGAAATAAAAAGTTTAATTATTGAGAACAAAGTGAAGATGAATAAAACAGAACATTAAGAACAAATGTGTTTATTTTTAATGAAAATAAAAACTGTGACCTACGAAAGATGAAATAAAAATTAATCTGTTTGATACATTGTTAAAGACTTACAACCGAGTGAAATTTTGGAATTGAAGAAAAATTAGAAAATTGAAATCAAAGATGAATGAAATCAATCACGGATTGGATAAAATTTGGAAAAGTTAGAAAAAATATAAAACAAAAATTAACATTCAAAACATATTCTATTAATTAGACTATGGAGTATAAAAAATAAAAAATTTTGAAACAATTAAATCTAAGCCTAAAAAGATCGAAAAAAAGAATAAAGGAAATCATAAATTAGTCAAAATTTTGAAGCAACAGAAGCCTCAAAGTCCTTATGATGGTTTTGATGGTTAAGTTCACAACTGGCACAAGAAGGAATGGAGGAAAATAAAATAGAAGAGAGGAAGTCATGATAAAGGTGATAATTAAAGAAGGAGAAGAAGAATTGAAGAAAGCATTGAATTCTCAAACGGTTTTGGGCTAAAATAACAAATTCAATCTAATCATGGGTTTGTAGTTTTTCAAAAAATTGGGCCCTTCAAATTAAGGGGCCCTGTTCAAATGAACCTCATGCACACCCCATTGGGCGGGTCTGCCCGCACACAAAAGACATTTTTACTATCTTTTTTTTGTCGAAATAATTTTTTTATTTGTCTGTGTCTCACAGACAATTATCGTCTGTGTTTGTCTATGTGAAGTGTGGATGCACTCATGGTTGCACTAATGTGGTCCACTATGCAATACTTACGCACCAAGTGATATTTTCCGATTTTTTCAATTTGGAAATTGGAATTGAAGGGGGAGTAGGCATGTGCTCCGTACCTGTGGCCTACTAAAATAGTAACCTGCCAAACACAGTCTTCATATGATCTGTCATTATTGAAAACTTATCCGAATACAGAAAGAGCTTATCGATATTAAAAAGCCTCGGCTCTTACAAAAGGCTCATTTTTATTGCCAAGCACATATTGATTTGGTGCTTTGATTCATTGAAAAAATATGTATGATACTTGTCCCTGAAAACCTTTCTCCCCCGTCTCAAAAAATACTTTTTATTTCAATTAAAAAGTCATTTTTACCCTTAATTTTTTCATGTCCTATCTATCACATCATACTTTTTTTATTAATAATCTACCCATTAAATCCTATTTTTACTCATCACATTAAAAGATATTTTTGAAAATTCAATACTAAAATACATTCTCCTTAAAATCTCTTCAAAATCAGAACATCTCATGTTTAAAGAGACGGAGGGAGTAGATATTACTCCATTCCTCCTAGAATAGAATAAGATTATTTATTTGGTCCAACACAAAGTGTGTGAAAAATAAAAATGTGTGATTGAAATGATTCAAAGGAGAGAAAGATTGTGAATTACAAATAGTTTTCCAAAATTAGAAAAAGTGTTTTTTGATACGTGCCGAAAAAAATGGAAATCTTTTTTTAGAACAAAGAAAATACATTGTAATAAAGCTAATAGTATTAGAAGAAATACAATAACATTTTACCACACCAGTCTTCCATATCCGATACGAGTTCGTATCAAAGGAATAGAGGGTATGTTTTTTTTATCATGAACACAATTTTTTATGTTCAGGTTTTTAAACCAACCATGTTGAAAATTTATTGTTCTATTTTTTATGATTCGCAAGCATATACTCCTTAGGAGCATGTTTTAAAAGAACCATACCACATCGCATTTATATCGATACTCATGTTCCTTTAAATTGGGTAGCATACACTGGTTGAGTTTGGAATTACGTCCTATGGCATTGAATGTGGTTCTTGGACTGGACGAACCTTTCTGCTTTAATCTTCTAAAGATTAGCTAATAAACTTAGTTAGCATATATAAGTTCAAAGCGGAAAGGTTTGCCCATGGATCAATCCAGTTAGTTCCCTTTTTTACCTAAATTTTTTATTTTTTGAAAAAAAAATATTTAAGACTTTATTCGTTTCATTTGTAAAAAGAAAAAATTGGAAAAAATTGAAGACTTTAGAAAAAATAAAAATACCGATAAAAAAACTATTGAAATAATTATTTTATTTATAAATTTCATATTTTATTTAAATAATTTAAACTATATTTTAAAATGTTTTTATCTCTTTTAGTTTTCTTATATGCCATTACATTTTATCTCAGATCATGTTAGTAATTTTTGTGACTCGACTCTTTTAATAAGCTTTTTAAAATTCATATCAAAAACATAATTTTCTGACAAATAATTTGTATGTCACTAATTCATGTGACAAAAATAATGAAATAAATGAAACATTTTTATATTGCTCTTAGTTGAAAAAACAATTGGATACATAGAATATAACGATGTCTCGATCAAAAAATATCTCTTGTTCTTTTTTTATTAAGAAAAGTTTATTATTCTAAATTTTACTCCCTTTATTCTAAAATAATATTTTCTATTCGAACTACATGTAAATTCCCATAATTTTCAAAAAATGGTTTTATTAACAAACTGGTATAAAAATAAAAATATTTACATTTTTAAAAAACTAAAAATGAAAACATGCAAACAAATGAAAGTTATCAAAATCGTAATAGTAAAGAGGTAAATCATTTTGAAACGGAAGAAGTAAAACATAATTTGTTGTCAAAATTTTAAGACGTTGATTATAACATATTTCAAAGAATTATAAATAATATTTAACAAAAAGAATACACTACAAAAAAGAGAATACATCTTTAGTACCTTGTACTGTTTACTTTGTATTACACATTGATAATGATATTCAAATAAATATTAGTAACATTATTAAACAAAACACATTTTATATATTAGCGGTTCTTTGATATAATCAATATAGTTATTATACTACCTCAGTCCCATTTAAATCGTCTATTTTGTTTTACGATATTGGAGTTTAGTTATTTTCAAATCATTTTATATGCAAAATAGTGTACAATTAAAAAATAAAATTACATATTTACAAACTATATTAAAATATCTACAAAATTAGCATTGACATGACTATATTATCTTATTAAATGACTAACGAATATAAAAAGAGAAACCCTATGAATAATAAACGGTCAGATAAATTTAATTTGACAGACTAGAGTTACAAATACTCGAGCGGATTCCTTGAGTTAAAAACCCAACACAAGTCTTTCCCGCACACTTTGTCGTGCGCGCCCAAGGAATTTTCCAGGGGGTCATCCATCCTAGAATTGTTCCAATTGAAGCACGCTTACCTTTGGAGTTTCTAAGTGATGAGCTCTCGAAAAGAATATGCACATTGTTGGTATGGGTAGTACTATCAATCTTTTCGGCTCTTTCTATTCTCATCTTAATACAAGGTATTGCAAAGAGTCATAAGCAAGAGTTAACTGCAACTTCCATAATAATGGCAGAATACATTGCGGTGTACATCGCTACCTTTCACGGGATGTTGCTTAAAATCTTATCACTGGACTCAAAGTAGTTAATTCCATCTCTCGAACATTGAAGCTTTATGGTGATAACTTAGTCGCTGTTAGTTTCTCGAACAGTAATAGTTCGACTAATGCCGCTTTATATCTTGATACAAAGTATTTATCCGTACGTGAACGAGTTGAAGAAAATAAACTTTGTATAAGGCATATAAGTATTAAAAATACGCTTGCGGATCCGATGACTAAAAGTCTCCCTCCTAAAATTTTCAAAGAACATGTTTCGAAGATGAGGTTCTCTAAAGACCTTATTTAGTTGCATATTGTACTTGTTTACATCTAATAATAAAATTTCCTCATCGTTTTGTTTTGTTTATCTCTGAATGTGTCTTAGCTTATTTGAGTTTTAAATTTGGTATTGTCGTATGACTAATGAGGATCTTGAATTGAGTATCGATGCAATGAATGCATTTCTCTGCTACAGTTTTGGTTTAGAATTAAAATGAGCATTAAAATCTGATTAGACTTCTCTAATACTCATCGTAAATGATTACTTAGTTTAATGGGAGAATGTAGGAGACGGTTTTTATTATGTGACCTGAGTTATCATTTATCTAATTAATTGATCATTATATTGACCTAATAAATACCCTTCATATTTAATTGATAATTATTCAATTGACGTTATTATCCTTACGACCTAATTAGGGTTAGTTTCCCCTTGGGTGTATATATAAAGAGGTTATTAGGTAGAGGTTAACATCATCAATCTTATGTCTTCCCTCTGTCTCTCTAATCTCGTGAGTCTCATACTCACCTTAGTCATCATAACAATTCCTAAACGAGAATTCGATCTGCATCAGAATCATGACCTCATCCCTAACTACGTTCACATGAGTTATCAGGTACACATGATCTAGTTCTTGATTTTTATTTTATGTTAAAAAATTGATCAACATAAATATCTTTAGATACAAATTCATGGACATTTTTAAATCAACATAAGTTTTTTTTAACAAGAAAATCTTTTAATGATAATTCTAAAAATATAAATAAAAAATCTATGTTTTTGAAAATAATTCATAAAAAGTACTTGTGTATTTACTTTTGTGTCCTATAAGTGCAGTATAGGTCTCCATCTCAATCCTAAAACCAAAACAGCCGTACCCAATGGTGGGTTTTGTAAAAGGAAAGAAACCAAAATAACTTTGTCACTCAAGTATGGAGTGGTGGTCCAAAAGTGTTACATGTCCTTTTTTTTATTGCATCCCATCCCTAAATAATAAAGATTCATGCAAGACCATGAGACACCTTCCAAATTGTTGCCTAAGACCAACATAGGAATCTATTTCCATACTTCTTTGTTATTTTAATTATATTTAATTTTATTTTTACCAGTTTAGCCTATCACATAAGTTAAGCCTTGTAATTGATGGCAGACATATTCTCTCATGTCCAAAGTAAATTAAAGTCTTATTTTGATTTCATGCATTTTAAGATGAAAACTAAGGTTGTGTTAGCATTTTCATTTTAAAGTAGTTTTAGTTTTTTAGTTATGTCAAAACTAAAATTGAAAGTTTAATTTAAGACGTCAAATAAAGAAAGTTAGACTTCAAATTAAATAAGAATGGGTAGAGTATGTCTTCGACTAATTTAAGAGTAAACATGGACAATTAAATGTGGATATGTTGGTTATTATCAATTTTTTCAAAGAATTTGATCGGTCTAACATGGACTGTTCAAGATTCCCAAAAATAGCATTGGCCAGCTCAACACGGTCAATGTTGGATTAAGACCCGTCAATAATTTCTTGATTGTGACAATGAATTAGGACGAGAATAAGTGATTTTTGAAATTCGAATTTCAAAGCAGACGTTTAACATTCGGGTGTGTCCCAATGAAGACAGCATATCACTCAACCAAGAGTGATGTGGTAAAGTGGAGGGAGGGAAATAACTTTTGAATTAAATGGTGAAAGGTTTGAATGATGGGATGGGATATGTATAAATATAAATAAATAAATATGGTACAGTGAAAGAAAGAAAGATAGAGAGAAAGTGGCTCTGATCTGCCTGCCCCTCATGCTGAGGCAAATGCTGTGTATAGTATAGTAGAAGCTAAGGGAGAAAGGAGTAGGAAGAAGCATTGAAAGCATTCTGCAACTTCTTTGTATTTGACCATCCTACCCCTCCCTCCCCCCACCCACTCTCACTCACACTCACACACATTATTGCTTCTTTACTTACTCCCACCTCTTCNTATCAGCTATACCTCCATATTCGATCTTCTTCTTCCTCTTTAAAAATATAATGATTTGATTTAATTACTTCTGCAGATGTATTATATTTATGTCATCCCCACCAAGGTAGCTCATCAAACCAGTCATGGAGTCATCATCATCATCATCATCAAGACCATCTGCTGATTCACATCAATGTACAACACAATGGGTAAAACTTCATTTCTTATACTATAAATTATCATTTCTAGTTATCACTTTGTTAGCTTTATGAATATGAAGTAACTTAGCTAAGGCTCCGTAGTCACACACACACACACACACACAGTAAAAAAGAGGTTATGTTCGTTTTCATTTCCATTGATTTATTTATTTTTTGATTTTTGTTACAATTTTTTTGAAGTCGTTTTAGTTAAAACTTTCGATGATGTACGTACTTGTAGTTTTTAAATTTATACAGAGTAACTTTTTTTAGTTCTATATTACTTTTTTAATAAAATGAATTGAAAATTGTTTAAGTGTCATAAACTAAATCAAGAGGAGTATATATAGGAATGGATGGATAAAAAAAAATTCAACAGGTTACAAGGATTATTACCTAAAACTATTTCCAGTTCATTTTAATAAGTGATCATTTTTCTATATTTACCTTCCAAAGAGGAACAAATAAAAGAGAATATAGTGAGCCAAACATTACAAAAAAGAGAATATATTAAGGGCTGGACAGATCTAGCTAGTGATTTAATTTATACCTTAGGAAATCAATATTCTATCCGTCCTATGCTTTTCTTCTCGTTTCCTTTGTCAATACATTTCATCTCGTTTCCCTTTTACAATCGGATTGGTTCAAAGAATTTTGAAATAAAAGAAAAGAAAATGATTTTCTTTCATTTTCCTCACCAAAATTAGAAGAATTTGGTTTTCCCTCAGCTTCGTGCATTTTGTCTTCTCATTTTTTTTGCTTCAATTCCGCTTATCTTTTCTTTTCCTCATTAACCAAACAAGAAAAACTGATTTCCATCTTAATTTCTTTTCTTTTCCGTACCTAGAACCAAACATGGTAGTGTTAATGAAGAGACTATTCATTTTTTGTTTTACAACTAAAAGACCATTTTCTCATTTTTTTTGCTTCAATTCCGCTTATCTTTTCTTTTCCTCATTAACCAAACAAGAAAAACTGATTTCCATCTTAATTTCTTTTCTTTTCCGTACCTAGGACCAAACATGGTAGTGTTAATGAAGAGACTATTCATTTTTTGTTTTACAACTAAAAGACCATTTTACTCCCTTTATATATTAAAATAAAAAAGAAGAATATTTTAATCTTAATTTAGTCTGCTCTTCAGTAATAATAATATGTGGAAAAATGCTAGGGGTACACCTTGTTGGGACTGCGTGTGCCCTCACCCCAACCCCGCATTAGTATGATATTGTCCGCTCTGGGCCAAGCCCCCACGGATTTGTTTTTGGGCACTTCCCAAAAGGCCTCATACTAATGGGGTTGGGTGAACCTATATATTTTGGTTCATTTACTCCTACTCATCCGGTGTGGGACTTGGAGGAATCCCAACAAACCTCCCCTCATCCAAGGACCACACAACTTCCGACCTCCCCTCCAGCAGTAATCCCTTTTTTGTACCGCCGTGGCTATAACTTCACGGGACGCGCCGCCCGACCTCCTCTTGTCGGGAAGACTTTCGACACAAGGCACCACCTGCAGATCCTCTTTCTTGGTCTTGGTCCTAGTTACACCGTCACACCGAGATTTTTCCACACTGCACAGTCCGCTACTCCCGCCCGCAAGAACCTAGGCTCCGATACCACATGTTGGGACTGCGCGTGCCCTCACCCCAATTGGGCACCTCCCAAAAGGCCTCGTACTAATGGGGTTGGGTGAACCTATATATTTTGGTTCATTTACTCCTACTCTTCCGGTGTGGGACTTGGAGAAATCCCAACACACCTTACACCAAAGGTGTACCCCATTTGTCCCCCACCCCCTCCATCACCACACAAAAAGGCAAGAAACTAAAACAAAATTAAATAAATAAAAATAAAATAAAATTGAATGGTAGATAAAGGGGTGGGGGACAAATAGGGTACACCTTTTGGTGTACCCCTAGGGTTGCTCTAATATGTGTCCTGAATGTTATTAAATTGATATTTAATTTCTTGGAATCAAAATCAGAAACAGAAGCAGAAAGTATTAGGGGTTGTAACATTGGCATATCAGAGTCTGGGAGTAGTGTATGGAGATCTCAGCACCTCTCCACTGTACGTATACAAAACCACATTTTCAGGAAAGCTGAAACTCAAAGAAGACGACGAGGAGATATATGGAGTGCTCTCCTTCATCTTCTGGACTTTCACAATTATCCCTCTCTTCAAATACATTTTCATTGTTCTCTCTGCTGATGACAATGGGGAAGGTGAATTAAACCTTGATTACTTAGATTAATGTTTAAGACAAATTCGTGAAACCTTAATTGGATTCAGTTCACAATGGGATTAATGAATGATGCTTGATCATAACATTAAACAACAACCAATGTGCTTCAGGTGGCACATTTGCACTCTACTCCTTGCTGTGCAGGCATGCAAGGCTGAGCTTGCTTCCAAACCAGCAGCAAGAAACAGATGAGAAATTGAGCTCATATGGCATACGAGGAACTAAAGACGACAGTCCCCAAAGCGCCGCTTTCAAGTCCTTCGTTGAAAGCCATCCGAGCTTTCGCAACGCTCTTCTGGTCTTTGTTCTTCTCGGAACTTGCATGTCTATTGGTGACGGCGTCTTCACTCCCTCCATTTCAGTTCTCTCGGCAGTTTCGGGCATGCAGGTTAAACTTAAAGGACTTCATGAGAGTAAGTTGAGCTTCGGTTTGGATCCATTCTTCTTCTTTTTTTTCCTTCGTGGATTCCAACTTCACGTGTCATGTGGTTATTGCCAGATTACGTTGTAGTGATTTCGTGTATAATTCTGGTGGGGCTGTTCTCCATCCAGCATCATGGGACACACAGGGTTTCTTTCATGTTTGCTCCTATTGTGTTGGCATGGCTCTTGTCCATCAGCAGCATAGGAATCTACAACGTACTAAAGTGGAATCGTGGCATATACCGGGCGCTGTCACCCCTCTACATGTGGAGGTTTCTTAAAGTGACTGGTTGCGAAGGTTGGGTGTCCTTAGGTGGGGTGGTGCTCTCCATAACAGGCAAAGAAACTACATTTCATCTCCCAAAATATGTATACATGTTTGTGGTTCCATACATAGTACAAAGATGCTAACTAAGATGGATTTGTTGTTCTCAGGTGTGGAGACCATGTTTGCTGATCTGGGCCATTTTTCCACATTGTCTGTCAAGGTAAACTCTTGCTTGTGAAGTTGTGAGTGACCAGACCTTAATGAAGGCAAAAAAAAGTAGAAATGATAAATCCGAAACGCACCAAAACCGTCTTAGGCTGTATATCCAGTTGTTTTTATTTTTCTTAAAACAAAACCGAATCGAAAGCGAAGAGTTCATGATGCTTGTGACACACAGATTGCATTCACATCATTGGTGTATCCATGTCTGATGCTTGCATACTTGGGTGAAGCTGCATTTCTCTCAAGGAACCATGAGGACATCCAAAGAAGTTTCTATAAAGCCATTCCAGGCAAGATTTTTCAAGCCATTCATTTGAGTGGTTGGTTACTTGGTTAACCATTAACCTATTATGGCCTTTGGCAATTCTTTTCAAGTTCTAAGTTTCTGTGCAGAGGACATATTCTGGCCAGTGTTCTTAGTGGCCACTTTGGCAGCTGTGGTGGGAAGTCAGGCGGTAATCTCCGCTACTTTCTCCGTCATAAGTCAGTGTTCGGCACTCCATTGCTTTCCCCGGGTGAAAATCATTCATACTTCCAGTAAGATATTTGGCCAGATTTACATACCAGAAATCAACTGGATTCTCATGTGCCTCTGTCTGGCTGTTACTATCGGAATAAGGGACACAAACAAGATTGGGGCCGCTTATGGTATGAAGAATGACTACCCTACTCATTTCTTCCATTAAACAACGGGCTTAATCTTCATTTGGCAATTCTAAGGATGAGAACCTACAAAATTAAGTACTAATGTTACTCTTCCTTTGTAGGCCTGACATTCACAATGGTTATGTTCGTAACAACTTGCCTGATGGCAATGGTGATGGCCATCGTGTGGAAGAAAAAGATCCAAACAGTTGCCATTTTTGTTGTTTTTATTGGTTCTATTGAACTTCTATACCTCTCTGCGGCAATTTACAAGGTTCAACAAGGAGCTTGGATACCCCTACTTCTATCAATCATCTGCATGGGCATAATGTTCACATGGAACTACGGAACCCTAAAGAAACACCAATATGATCTGGAAAATAAGGTCTCAATGGAGAGAATCTTGGCTATGGGACCAAGTCTAGGAATAGTTCGAGTCCCTGGAATAGGACTTATGTACACAAATCTCATCAGTGGAATACCTGCTATATTTGATCACTTTGTGACCAACTTGCCTGCTTTCCACGAAGTTCTTGTTTTCGTGTGCGTGAAATCTGTTCAGGTGCCATTTGTTGTTGAAGAAGAGAGATTCTTGGTGAGCAGAGTGGGACCTAAAGAGTTCAGTATGTTCCGATGCATAATCCGATATGGATACAAAGACACCCAGCAAGACTACAACTTTGAAGCAAGACTAGTTTCTGCAGTCATTCAGTTTGTTGATTCAGAAGATACAAAGCTTACAAAAGACCATCCAGGAAACACAGTAGAATCTGGAGATGATATCCAGGTGATAGCATCGGGAAAGAGCAGACAGCTTAAAGAAGAGTGTAGGGGTATAATGAGAGCAAGGGAGTTGGGAATTGCATACATTTTTGGGCATTCTTACGCAAGGGCAAAAAAGTCATCATCCATCATCAAGAAATTTGCCATAAACATTGTGTATGGTTTCTTGAGCAAGAATTGCAGAGGACCTGATGTCGTTCTAAATGTCCCTCACAATTCCCTAATTGAAGTGGGAATGATATACCACGTGTAAACTCGAGTAAATGTAAGTAGAACGATTGTAAGGGTAGTTTGGGACTTGTGTAATGCAAAACAACGGTAGCTAACTACAAATGTAACTTGATGACTCAAGCTGTTAAGTATGAACAAAAAGGCAAGTATTTGAGTTTGTTGACTCAATTTTGACTTTTATTGACTAACAATCTACTATGATTTAAGTTCCAAGGGAAAAACGAGTTTTGAATTGCTAAAGCTTCAAGCTCACAGATGAGATCAATAAAAGCATATTAAAAGCATAAATTCATAGAAACAGCCATAAGATTCAAGCATCGCGATATTAAAGAGCAATAGTCTTTGATTATAAAACTGATACCAAAATCTCAGAAATCCCGATGAACAAATCCATCAGAAGTATTACATAAGAAAAACGTCAGTGAAATTCTGGAAAAAAAACAGAACGAAAACACCATTAACGGGTAACCTAAGGAAGCCGCGACGGCGGCGATGTTCCGCTCTACTTAGATCTCTGCCTCATCTTTCGGCGCTTCCTCTTCAGCCTCCTCATCCGCTTCTTCTTCCACTGCGAATTTTCGTTTTCACGAAGGTTACAAAACAATGTTATGGTTTACAGCGATCGCAACCAAATAACAGTCTGTGCGAGAACGGAGATTCAAAGTACCTTAGCTCTCATCGTGGAGATGTGACGGCGGCGAGATTCAAACCCTCTGACCCAATTGAAGGATCAATGCGACGACGAACGGAAACGGGCAGAGCGATGATGAAAAAGGAGCGATTGAGGGACGGCGAGTATATATACGAAGCCCTAGTGTGGGAATCGTGTGATGGGCTGATTTCAGTGGGTCTATTTTGGGATCTATGAGTCCTCCGTAGTTAGCAGTCTTGGGCCAAAGTTAAGTAACTCTCCCGTGGACAAGATATCATTTCAACAAGAGAATTTTGTGGTTTGTTTTGGATGGTGGGGAGAAAGTGAAGCCCAAGAAAATGTGAGAAAAGAAAATGGATAGAAAATGAATTGAAATCAAAGTGTAGTTAAATCTATCACAAAAATAGTTATATTCACTCTTTTTATTTAAATTTATAAAACTCACACTAATGTTAAAGTTATGTTAATGGGTGTGGATTTAGCAAACATAGAAAAAAGTGTGAATATAATCACTTTTGGGTGGATTTATCAATAACTAGAAAATAATACTCCCTCCGTCCTAAAATTAACTTCTCATTTGACTTTTCACGGTCTCCAATGCGACACTTTGACCATCAATATCTCAATTTTTATATAAATATATTTTATAAAAATTATATATTTCAAAACTATATTCCAAAATGAATCTATTGCTAATAAATTTATATGAAAATTCAATGTATTTTTTTCTTAATATACGGTCAAAGTTTAAAAAGTTTGACCGCAAAAGTCAAAATGAGAAATTAATTTTAGGACGGAGGGAGTAGGTGTTTTGGATGAAGAAAAAAATAAGAAGAAAAGAAAAGATGTATTTTCTTTCCTACATTTGGTTTAGACGAAAAGTGCAGTAAAAAGAAAATTGGATTAAACAAAAAGATGATTTTATCGTTGTTATATTTGGCACATTTGGGAATAGATTGGCAAAGTTGCCATTTAAGTTCATTTTCTCTCCATTCGTGCACTTTTCTCGCTATATGGAGGGTTTTTTGTTGGTCCGCATGTAATTCCCTCATTTTTTATTTCATCCAAATAATAGAAATACTTAAAAGTTGTCTTTTCTCTCCCTAAGTTTCTTTCTTCCCAACTTCTCTCCATCCAAAGAATGAGTTAGGATCCGTTTGGTAAGTTTTAGATATGTGATAGAATTTTGATTTTAAAATTTAAAAATGTGATATGAATCTTAAAATTTGAAACGAAGTTATTTGAAGAGATTTAAAACTATGATTTAATTTATGATAGGCGACATAACCGGCGACGAGGTGATTGGTGATGAGGATGGCAGTCGGTGACCGAGAATAGTCAACGATTAAGAGAAATATCAAACTTCAATATTAATACTTTTCAAAATCAAAAGATATTATCATCTATTTTTAAATAATTTTATTAACAAATTGATATAAAAATAATAAAGTAACTTACATATTTAAAACTAAATTAATTTTTTGTTATACAAGTTTGACAAGAGTTTTTTTTCTATCCAGTGACTTATGCAAATTAAAATTATCGAAAGTTTAAAATAGTAAATAGGAAAGAAATTTTAGGACGTACAATGTAGAACTTAAATTTTTTTTATTTCTTATATATGACTAAATAATGACTAGTGAGAAGAATAATTTTCCAGTGAAGCTGGACATTTAGTTGACTATTAGATAATGATCAATGGTCCTACATTACAAAATAAAAACATATAATTCTATATTAAACTCTAAGAAAAAACACTAAAGTTCAAACATCAACATGCTTTTTTTACATAAATTGGTTAGTCAATTTTTTCCGGTCGGTTAGATTGCCACATGCACCGTCATTATTTACACGCTTGCATATGGTCTGACCAACGGGCGACTCGGCGAGCACGAAACGACGACTGTAGCAGTTGATCAAGACTGATCTCCGATCTCCATTTCAGCGGGCAAGTGTTCAATGCTGTGTAAAAATGGGGATCAGTTCATCAATGAACCTACCGACCGGCTCCCATGGCGGCGACAACCGGGAAGATCAAGGCGGAAGCTTGCTCCATGTCTCCCTCAAAATTGAGGATGCAAAGCTCTGCCTCAACCCCGATCTCGTTCCTCACGTCTTCGGCTCCGTCCCACTCGCCGGCTCCTGGAACCCCTCTAAAGCGGTGAGGACCTATCCCCTCTTCTCAGTTTTGCCTAATTGTGTGTCCAATTTGTGCATGTTCGTCTGTTTCCATCGCTACAGTTTGAAATGCCTAATTCAATGTATTCTATTTGCTTACTTTCTCAATAGCTTCCAATGGAGCGCGGATCAACAACAGTTTGGCAATTAAGCTTTGTCGTCCCGCCTAATCACGGTTAGTCAGCTGAAATCCTTAAGCTAACTTTTCCTGTTTGATCGAGCTCATAACGGAGTAGAGATTGCTTGCTCTGATATAGAAACAATGGATTTCAAGTTCATATTGAAACCCATGCATGATTCTGGGCCGTGTATTGTGGAGGAGGGTGCCAACCACGTGCTTGTTGGGGGCAAGCTCCAAGGGGAATGTCAGCTGGCATCATTTAAGTTTAGCAAGGAGGAATTCATGGAGTCCAAGGTGTATACTAAAGTAGACTTAGTTTCTCCATTTGATCTTGCTGCAAGTTGGAGAGCTTTTCATGAAAACCGCAGGCCTTCTACTGTTAGAGGGATGCCCGATGTTATTATCAATTCGAGTACACAAGCTGGTAATGAGGTGATCTTCTTTTCATTTCATGTCGATGACTACATTATCAATTCTCATTAAATGGTTTCTCATATATGAATATGTATACTACACAGAGCGGGTCTTCTGCAAATGCAGAGCTTGATATCGAGAATTATGTTGTTCCGTCTCCGGCACCATGGGAACACTCTGGACTGGTTTATGCAGCTAACCTAACAGAGACTCCGAGATCATTGAATGGTTCTGGGGTATTTTCTGATGCTCATGGCTCTAATTGTGGAGTTAATCTATATAGTAGTAGTATCAAAATGATCACTGTCCGAAAAAAGATTTTCTGCTGTGATATACGTGATACTCCGTATAAAATACCCAAATTTCAATGTGGCATTCCACAGAGATCATGAGTTCCGGTTGATTTCTTATCTATGAGTGTCTTATGGAGTGATCACTTACATTACATGCCATGCTATAGTGTTTCCTGTCTCTATCAGTTAATAATACGTAGTAATAAATAAATAAATAAAATAAAAGTAATAATAATCCTATGGCAGTGTGCGTATGTTTCATGTGCATATTTTCTTGTTGGAGAATACTACTATTTAATGGACTTTCAGCTTCTTTTTTATTTCATTATTTGCACTATCTGCATGTAAAGTATACAATAGTTGTTGAATATCATTCTCTTTCACTTACTTTTACCTTCTGTAATGGATTCTGCTGTATTTAGGAGATGGAAGCGACAACTTCAGATCCAGTCACTGAGCATTCAAGTGCTGCCATGGTTGAGTCAAAATTTGATAAAATATTGGCTTTACAAAATAATGATAATAAAAATTGTACTTCTGTTGATAGAGGTGTAGGGTCTCCCAGACTAGTTAAATCACCACGTGCAACTAACTTCACTCTTGATCCAAATCTTAGTTTCGAAACAAAGGTTTGTAGAAGTCCAATCTGTATAATTTGCTGTGAGCTGTAATTCTTCCATAGCTATGGATCTGATACAAATATCCATTTATCATTCTTAGAATCCAATGCCAGCTGCTGCTGGAGCTGTTGCAGCTGCTGCAATTGCAGATAGGATGCTTGGACCTAAGGAGGAAAGACATCTAGCAATTGTCTTGGTAGGTTACTTTTGTGTTGTAAACAGCATTTTATTATCTAATTGCTTCAAGTGCTTGTTTGGTTATAGTAATTTGATGAGACATCTACCAGCAGTTTTCCCATTGTGCATGCTCTGCAGGTTGGTTTGCCAGCTCGTGGCAAAACTTTTACTGCAGCTAAACTTACAAGGTATCTTCGCTGGTTAGGACATCATACCAAGCACTTCAATGTTGGGAAGGTATTCCGTTATCTGTACGACTCCAATCACCAATAGTGAATTATCGGAGTATCAGTTTTCACTTCATAAAATGTTTTTTTTAATTTCGTTTGTATTGCAATACAGTACCGGCGCCTGAAGCATGGAACTAATAAGGTACATCATTTTTCTTCCAAACATTTGAGGCTAAACATGTTACTCAGGATTGACATCCACTACTCTCTAGTTTCTTACCACGTATTACCACTAAATTTTCATCGTCATGATTTTAGTTCTATAGTAAATCATGTCTTTCGTGCAAACTTTTTAAAATGTTGTGGTATCTGAGTTTTTCCACTCCATACATTTCTTGATGATTTGCTCTTGCAGAGAATTTGAGCTTAATTTTGCATGTAGAGTAAAATCTAGACCATCATTATTGTTTACTAGAAAATTAAATCTGAACACATCTTTAAAGTATTGCATATAGTTTGATCCCCTTTTATAGATTACTAATATAGAGTATACTTTCACAAATGAATAAATAATAAAATGAGTTTACTTGACTACTTCACTAATGGAAAACATACTTTTCAAACTAGAATGTAAGACATTTCAGGTATTTATAGTATCATTCCTGTATTTTTTTAATGCAGTGGGCTGATTTCTTTCGAGGTGACAACCCTGAAGGTTTGGAAGCGCGAAATGAGGTAAAGTCTTAGTCTATTTAGGCTTTTATGTGTTAAACCATATGCATTTCATGATATTTTGATTTATTCAATGCCAGGTTCGAACACCCAATCTTTATTTCGGAGTTCTCTTTTCTTATTTTTCCTCTTGACCATATAAGATAGAATATCACTTGTATTTTCTGCAAGCAAGTCCTCCAAGACTTTGTTTCTGGTACAAGTAAAGTTCACTCTGATAAAATGTGACAAGTTGGAAAAGTCACCATTTCACTTTTAATAAGCTCTGTTATGAAATGTGAGCTACAAACAAATTACTCCCTCCATCCCATAATTAGTTTCCTACTTTCCTTTTGGGGTTGTCCCAAAATTTTCTTCCTCTTTTCTTTTAAGGAAAAAAGTTGAGTGGTTTTGATCATCTCTCTTTCCTCTACACCAACCACAACTACATAAATTTCACTTTATTAAAAATCATGCCATGTCAATCAAGAAGAAAAGTTACGGGACGGTTGCGAGTATCAATCAGCACCCTATACAACAATACTTTGTTCTGTGAAGTGCGTGACTTGTTTTTCTTGCTGTTAATGAGAGCATGATCAATGATGCTTACTTGGAGATGTGATTTCATTATGATGCATAATACATTTTGAATTAAGCTTGTATTACTATTTGATTTATCCTAGGTAGCTGCCCTTGCTATGGAAGATATGATAGCCTGGATGCAGGAAGGTGGGCAGGTATGTTTGTCTATTATTTGAGAAGGGTTATATTTTCAGTCTTTCAAGGTTCTAATAAAGACACTGGATTCCTAACTGTTGCAGGTCGGAGTATTTGATGCCACTAACAGCACTGGACAAAGAAGGAATATGCTTATGAAAATGGCCGAGGGGAGATGTAAGGTACACTTGTACTTTGCAATGCCATTCCAAATTCCAATTACCATGTTTACTCATTAGCTATCAAAAATGAACTTCTATGAAAATGAACCATGGAGCCCTGATGGAGGTACTAAGTGGCTTATGCCATGTTCCTAAGAGTATAGTTCTTTCAGTGCACTACTGAATGCAGCATTGGAGAGCTAGGCTGGTAGTTCATTCTCACAGATGCAATTCATATTCGTCAAAGTGGAGATGATCCATTCAAAATCTAGTAAAGTCAAGATTATCCATTCAAAATCTAGTTTTGTATTCTTTTTGTGTTTGAAGTAAATATTACTCTCTATATCCCACTTTAAGATGCCTAATTTGGTTATGTACAAAGATTAATGATGTGAAAAGTCTGAAAACTGTGAAGTTGATGCCGAGTGCTTATGTAGAGGAGAGAAAAACAATATGAACTACATTATCTTTTCTATCAATGGAAACACATAAGATACATTCGAACATAAAAAATGAAAACATGTAATACTAATTCGCACAGTGCCACAGCAGGAGTATTTGAGTAGCTTCACAATTACACCAACTAGGTAGATCTTACGGGGACACGAGACGAAACTTCACAATTACCTGCAAAGTATCTGAAATTTAGTCCCAAATCATAATGGTATTCCCCTTTTCCATTTTGTCTAACTTGCAGATAATTTTCCTGGAGACAATTTGCAATGATCCGGAAATAATAGAAAGGAACATTCGTCTCAAAGTTCAACAAAGCCCAGACTATGCTGAACAGTATTATTTCTATCTACACCTATTTCTTATTTCTAGGGACTATTAAAATAATGTGTTTTAATTACTTACCTTAAAATAAAATATTATTTTGTATTTATTAACAGGCCAGATTTTGAAGCAGGATATAGGGACTTCAAAAACCGTTTGGCTAATTATCAGAAAGTAAGTTTCTAAATGTGTTTCTTACAACTACATACGCATGTTTCCCAATTCCCATTTGGTGGACAAATAAAATTCCTGATCACCAGTATCATACATTTTGTCAGCTGATTTTTTTCTATTTTTAGCCAAATAGGGCGATGAGTAGAAAAAGTAATTATGAGGTTACCTTTTTGTGGAGATTAAATGACTGAAAACTGAAAAGAAGAGTAAAGAGTCAAAGACAATATTACATTATTACCCTCCATCCTTCGTGTGTGCGCACATGTAGTGTTTCCTCTAATTATTAGGAAAACCTTTATTGGGTAAAGTACACACTATATACTCCCTCGCTTTAAAAAAAACTAATACTCCCTCCGTCCCGTATTAATGTTCCACAATTAATCAGGCATGAAGATTAAGAAAAATGAAATTGTGTGGTTGAAGGTTGTGCACAAGAGAGAGAAATGGTGTAATCCACGAGGTTTGCTTCATGTGATTGGGCACGGAGTATGAAAAGTGGATCCTTATTTTGGGGCGGATAAAAAAATGCATTGTGGAACATTATTACAAGACGGATGGAGTATTATTTTAGTTGTTTTAGCAAATACAACATGTTCAAATATTTGTCCAAATAAAATAAAAAACAGACTCTTATTTACAACTGTGTAACAAGATATAATTTAATTTGTTTCCCCCCTTTTTGTAGGTGTATGAACCAGTTGAGGAAGGATCTTATATCAAATTGATTGACATGGTTAGTGGCAAAGGTGGGCAAATACAAGTAAGTTATCATTGCCGTCTAAACTATAAAGTTACAAAATATTCAAGGTTCATTTCATTTATGTTTTGTGCTGATACAAATTACACTCCGTTTAATTCAAAAAAACACTCCGTAGTTTTCTTTATTGAGTGTGTTAAAGTTATTGGTATTTATCACTCCTTTTGTCCAATGAAAAGAGTCATATTCTTCTAATGCACAAGTTTTTAATATTCTTTTTTGTCGAGTCTGATAAAGTTATTGGTATTTATTACTCCCTTTGTCCAATGAAAAGAGTCATATTCTTCTAATGTACAACTTTTAATATTGTTGAGGCCAAACTAGTAGAAAGCAATCAAATATTGTCGTATTTTCAAATTTATTTGTTAGTTGAACTAAAATAACATTTCCTCATCATTTTTTTTCTTTTCACGCGACAAACATATGTTGAGAAAATGACCTTTTTAGGACACAGGAAATCTTTAACAAGCATCATTATCATTATCAACTTAACCCCAACTTTGCATGGGCCCTCGTGTTGGCATCCATTGATACGCAAAGGAGAACCGGAGATGGCGAGGAAGAAGAGAGCAAATGAAAGGGAAAATTTTGTATTATTCAAAGAAGAACTGAAAATACAAGGGTATATAAAAGAGGGATAGCAACCCGTAACAAACCGTAACAAACTTAACAAGAAAATTATCTAGCTAACCAACTTCTAACAAACAAACTTCAATACTAACTTCCAACACCTCGACATGAATTTTATAGTGTCCATTACCTGTCTAAATGTGAACAGAAAAGAATGTAGTGACAAAGTTACGCTGGATGCCCCCTGCTGCAAATGAAATGAAATTCCAAATCTGTCATCATCACAAGTTCTTACCCGTGCATAGAATGTATCATGTGACAGGCAGTCATTGATGATTGAGATAGTTGTTATGGTCATGTCCCTTTACAAAATTAGTATTGTAAAATTAACATGCAGGTCTTAGTATTGACTAAGTTTGCTTGGTGTATATTTTTTCTTGCAGTCTTGTGAAGTGGTTAGCCACTAAAGCAGCTTTACTAGAACACGCTTTACATGACTCTTTTCTAAAATCTATTTTGAAGTATTTTCACCAATGCAAGGGGTATCATCTGTACCAACTAAATTGGCTTCCCTCACTATTTTGATGGCAGTATTGGACTATTGGTACTTGACGACATCCGCGAATCAGATTAGAGATTATATCGGGATATGGCATATCCGCATATGTCCCTTTTGTTTCATGATATTAAAATACTTCATGTTAAATATTGGAGTATTCATATTCTAATGGAGTTGATACCTCATTTTCATTTCACCTATGCAATCCATATATAATGGTACACTATATCATAATTGATATAGATACATTTATTTCACAATGCTTATGGGTGTAAAATTTCAATGAGAAGAGGGAAGATGCTAAATTTTGGAAGTAAGCTATTGGCGTAGTCATGATTTATGAATGGATTTGGGGTGAAGAATTGAAATAAAATATGCTTTAAAAACAATAAAAATTGGTACTTAGATTCTTTGTAGGTCTATTTTTTCGTGAAATATAACGTTGTTTATATTTCACAATGGTGAAACATAACATTGGTTATAACATTATTTTTTTGCGAATTGTTTTTTGGGGTCTGTTTGCCTCTGTGACACTATAACATTGGTTTACAACGGTGTACTATGGGCATTTTAGCTGTTGGAACTTATGCACAAACTTTGCCTTGTTAATTGGGTGCATCTTTACCAAAAGTCGGAGGATATTCTCACCATAGTGGAATCATGTATGTGGGAGCTTCAAATAAGCACACGATAACATATTTCATAATTTTTTGTTGTCATAGAATTGAGTTTGTTGTTTTAGAATTGAGTTTGTTGTTTTGCAACCCTCATTTATTACAGTGTACTATAAGACTAGGTGTATAGCTGCTTTGAGGCATATCCGGAGCCACCTATCAGCCAATAGAGATCTGTTTTTTTGGATGGCCATAATTTAATGGAGACTTACTGCAAATTGTGCTGATAAGCTCTTTTTACTTTGGCAGGTAAATAATATTAGTGGTTATCTTCCGGGACGGATTGTATTCTTCTTGGTATGCCATGCCATTTCTTCGGATAAAGCTATTTGTACCCCAAGTTTTTGTACCCCACTTTGTATACCGCAGGTTTGCACCAACATTTTGTGTTGGTGTAAAACTAATTTTTGTTAACGCACCAACACTTTGTGTCCATGTAAATTTTTGTTAACGCACCAACATTTGTGTCGACGTAAACCATCAAAATGTTTGTGCATAACTGCGGTGTACAAATGGGGTACAATTTTTGGTGTAAGTGTAGCATGGTCCCATTTCTTCAATAAGATATAGCCTCATCTTGATAGCAGTTATGTGTAGCCCTAGGCCCTAGCCCTATTGGACCAGGCCTATATATCCCCCCATCCCCCCAATATCACGGTATACTAGATTAAACCTGCTAATATTTCAGTCAAAATTAATTCTTAAGCTGGAATTGTGCCTGGGATCAGTCAAACTAGAATTTTACTTGAGATTCAAATTCTTCTATGCAGGTAAATATGCATTTGACACCCCGTCCAATATTGCTTACAAGACATGGAGAAAGCGTATACAATGTCAGAGGCAGAATAGGGGGTGATACTGTGTTAAGGTGGTGCTTACCACTTTTGTTGTTTTTATTTTCATTTTAAAGCATGTACTATATTAAGGGGTACTATGCAATTTTCCGTCTGTGCTTCTATATAGGAGCATCTATACAGTTAGTCAAAATCAAGTTGCTCTTTATTAAGGCTCTTCTTGAAGACACGACTATTTCTATTCTTGTGCGCACTTTCTAATATATGCACAATTGAGTTGTTACTTCCCCTTTATATTTTGTCTGGCTAACTATGTCACCGTTAATATTGACATTTAGCATTTAACAAAGCCTTTATGCTTACAGTGAGGCTGGGGAGCTGTATGCCAAGAAGCTTGCTAATTTCATGGAGAAACGGCTGAAAAATGAGAGGGCTGCATCTGTATGTTATATTACTCCATCCCAAAGAAGTTGTGTTTCAAACACTTTCCCCCAAAAATAAGTCATGTTTGTTCCAGCAAAGTGATGTTTTCATGTAATTTGTCAAAAAAACAAGACAAGTTACATGTGAATAATTTAGTTAGACCAACAATTACATTTTTAAGATATTAACAGGGTTCATGATTTATTGCAGTTGTTCTTGCTAAAATTTACAATTTGTACCTAGGTCAAAGTGTCAAACATGACTTGTTTTTGAGACGGAGGTATTATTTTCATTTGCTCTTCCATAGAACGACATCTCTGTTCTTTTGTTGATTGTGCTTTAAATAATGTCTAGACTGCTTACTGAATCTGTTAGACTTCCATGAGATCTGATTGTAGAGGCAAAGCATCACCACCTTAATCACAATTATGTTGAGATCAGTATTCTAGTGAGAGACTGAGAGGGATTCTTAGCGAGTTTACTTAAAGCAGAAAGGGAGACAATTTCATAGAAACTTCCTGATTAGTTTGGGAAACCTAGATATGTTCGATTCCAACCCTTCTCTTTTTCCTATGATACACTGCATCCCACAAAAAAATGCAATACAAGACCAATCCTTTAAGGGTTTTGTGTATGCAACAATTATGAAAGTTAATACTCATATGTATGCATACTCTACCTTCATTTCCTTTAGAAACCTCAATGATTTCTTTTTGACAATAGTTAAACTACTTAACTACAGAAGCAACTGACTTATTGAATTGAATAAAAAGGAGCAGCATCAGGAAGGTATATTAAATGATAATTAGCAACACTTTGAATTAGAAATCAACTATGGAGTAAATGTTTTCTATAGTTTCCGTTCACTAGCTAGTTAGTTTTAATTAAATAAGCATTAGCTATGGAGCACTAGTCTTTGTAGCGCTTCTTATTGTGTAATAAATGCTCACTCCATCCAAGAATAAAGTTATGTTTTAAATATTTTGGCCCAAAAAGAACCATGTTTGAGCAAATAAAGCTAATTTTTATGTAATTTGCCAAAAAAGAGTCAGATACAAGATGTATATGATCAAATTAGTTACCCCAGCAAGTAGATTTTTAAAAATATCCCATAACTAGTATTAATGGTTTTCTCTGGATATCATTTATGACACTTGTCTAACACAACATATTTTTTGGGACAGAAGTAGAAAACTTTGTAGAGTATTTTTTTGTGATGCCCAATAACCCCAATTCAAATACCTAAAGCATCAAATTGGGTACTTGAATGCTTTCGGTAGAGTTTGCATGAATGCTCATACTCATTAGTGTCTCGCTATGAACTTATGAAGTTTGGCCCATGCGATGGTCTCTTTGTTCTATTTGCTCAGATATGGACTAGCACTTTGCAAAGAACGATTTTGACAGCTGGCCCAATCGCTGGATTGCCTAAGGTGGTTATGCTACTACATTCAATTCTTCTTTGGACAATGAAATTGATTCATGATTTGGAATATCGTATCATTGATCCATTGTCATACATCTCTCTCTCTCTCTCTCCAGATACAATGGCGTGCACTTGATGAAATAAATGTTGGTGTATGTGATGGTATGACCTATGAAGAAGTAAAGAAGAATATGCCCGAAGAATATGAGTATGGCCTATCTCTTTATGTGAGGTTTATCATTTATGTTCAGGGAATGCAACTGGAAACTTTAGGCTGCTTATTGATAAGTGATAACATAAGAATAGTTTGTATACTCCATAAACTTATTAGTAGTTTTTGAACAACTTGTGTTCAGATCACGGGAGAAGGACAAACTAAGGTACAGATATCCCCGAGGAGAATCGTATCTGGACGTTATACAGAGGTTGACACTTGAGACTTGAGAGAGTTTTGTTGTTAATGATATTATGAATCGGACATACAAAATCTACAAATCCTTTTTGTTCATTGTGATTGGGAAATCTGCCCTTTGCAGACTAGAGCCTGTTATCATTGAACTGGAGCGTCAAAGAGCGCCTGTTGTGGTTATATCTCACCAGGTAATATCATCATGTGAGTAGGGTTTCATTTTCTTCACATTTTTAGCAGAAATTAAACATTTACACGTTTTCCGAAATTTCGTCTAGGCTGTCTTGAGAGCTTTATACGCTTATTTTGCTGATAGGCCCCTCAAAGAAATTCCAAACATAGAGGTACTAATTCATTTCATCAGGTCTATAAAAACGCCGGATTTGGATCTTGACAGGCTTTGTATTGTTTGCAATTTTCGCAGGTACCACTTCACACGATAATAGAGATACAAATGGGAGTCACTGGAGTCCAAGAGAAGAGATACAAACTAATGTAGCTCTGCTTATTGTGTCTGTGGTTAGTTGATGGTTTGGTGCTCTTATTATTATGAGTCCGGTTATGTTGATACCAAAGCGCCAGTGTCATAATACGACATAGTTCATTGTGAGAGCTCTACGATGCTTCGTTTGAAAGCTAAGTGATTTTCACCTCTAATCCCTACAAATCCCATCGAATCTGCCCCTTGCCCCCTGCCCTGCCCCCTATGGGTGAAAATCAACTTATCAAATACTCATTTGACAAGTGAGTCTAGGGGATTTGTAGGGATTAGAGGATTGGGACTACTCCACTTCGAAACGAACGAAACATTGTAGAACCTTCAGATGGATATGGTGTCATGAACGCGTAAAAAGAACCTTGGTGTATTACGGAGTACTAATAATAATACATAATAATAATAATAAATCATAATAATAAAACAGAGCAATAATAATAACAATGTTAATATTATTGGAGTATTTATTTATGAAATTTATTATTATTATTACTATTATTATTATTATTAAGGGGAAGGTTCCCATGACATTGGGAACCAATGTCATGGGATGACCCGGGGGCGCTCCGGTGCCTCGTTCGTAAAATTGACGGTTCCTACCCCTCCTAACCCCCCGGTAAACCCCCCCACCCCACCCCAACCCGAACACACCCCCCCACCCCCTTCAATTGCACCCCACAAGTCGATTTTGACTTTGGAGTCAAATTTTGACTCCAAAGTCAAAATCGACTTGTGGGGTGCAATTGAAGGGGGTGGGGGGGTGTGTTCGGGTTGGGGTGGGGTGGGGGGTTTACCGGGGGGGTTAGGAGGGTAGGAACCATCAATTTTAGTAACGGGGCACCGGAGCGCCCCCGGGTCATCCCATGACCTTGGTTCCCAATGTCATGGGAACCAAGGTGTATTATTAATCCTTCCTTTGAAAAAAGCAATTCTATTTCCATTTTTTGCAAAATCTCACAAAACACTTCTACATCATCTAAAATGTTCAAAATACTCTCAAAATAACTTCTACCTGCAATGAAGAAATGGCGTGAATTTCAGACATTTTAGGTCAGGCAGATGTATTTTGTGAGATGTGCAAAAAATGAAAGGGAGACTATATTTTCAAAGTGAGTGATTATTATTATTATTATCCTCTTTACTCGTATAAACAAAGATGGTGTGGGGAAATATTTCATCCATCTATAAATAAACTTCTCGTTCATTATTTACATGGTCAAATTTTGTTTACTTTGTTGGTCATTTTGGTCGTTCATTTGATAAAATAATATAGTTATGTCACCTCTAGTTTTGTAAATTTTTTGATATAGTTTTTTAATATGTACTCCCTCCGTTTTTAAAAACACTTCCTCTTTCATTTTTTTCACTTCCAACAAAATACTTCCACTTTCTATTAAAAAACCACTTTTATCCTTACTTTTTCATACCCTACCTATCACATCATACTTTTTCTCTAACAATCTACCTATCACATCTTACTTTTACCCATCACATAAAGGGCAAAATTGGAAGTCAACTACAATTTAACACTTCCTTATTTTTCCACTTTTTCAAAGTAGGAACTCTTTTTGAGAACGGAGGGAGTAATTTTTATTTTAAAATTTTGCATTATTTTTCATATAAAATAATTTTAAAATAATTTTAATCAAAAATCATAATGCGTAACGGAAAGTTTATTTGTGTATGGAGGATTAGGTGCAATTCCTACAAATTTTTTTCCCAGTGGAATTCTTTCGTTTCGTTAATATGCTGTTTTAAAAGAAATGAAAAAAAATAATGATTGGATGGCGATCCTCATATATCGGCGAAGTTGAGGGAGGGAGGGGACTGTTGCGCAAATCTCTCCTTCCCGTATTTGCTCGCCGCTCTACTGAAGCCTATGTATGTTCGTGCGATTAATGATGTTATCCATAACGAGTGCGGACCCACGCCGTCAGTTGATATGGAAAACAAACAACTTCACTGTTCCCAATATATTACCCCTCAATATTTGCCACACATGTATTTCTGAGGTAAAATATCAGGTTTTTTTCAATTTATTTTATTTACATATTGCTATAGAAATAAAAAATAAAATTTACATATCAAAAAATTACATGAAAAGTTCTTTGAAATAAGAGGTGTCAAGAATATTTTATTTTATCAAATAACCAATGAAAACGTAGAAATAAACAAAAGTTCTCGCGACTGATGAAAAAACAAATGTTGTAAATATTTTGGGACGGAGGTGGTACTTTTACACCAATATTTTGATGATCTGCATTCATATAAAATATTAATAAGATCAAAAAATTTGTACTGGCATTTTATACTTGTGAGAAATTTGTACTAGTATTTTGTATTTGCGCGAACCAACACACTAGCCCCCTCAGCTTCCCAACTCCCTCCCTCTCCCCCATTAAATTTCAACGTTTAATTCTTTTGATATTCTCTCTTTTATCTTCATTTTTTGTTACATGTGCCAAAAAGAAACCGTTAAATATTCTGAGATGGGTATAGGATTACCGTGGACTTCTTTTGACAACAAGCATTTTTGTCTTATTGTAATAATAAAATAATGTTAACAATAATCTTTAAAGCTGAAGTCAAACGGGTCTGAAGTATCAACGTTACTCGTAATGAAATTGGTTCATGTTGGTTAACATAACACCAAACTCTAATAATTTTGGATAACAAGGGCACATTTTATCTACTTATAGATAATATATTTGTATTCCCTCGATCCCAAAGAGAGAGTCACAAATGAGGTGTATCCCAAATGTACATCACCCCTCTTCTTACCATTCATTTTATTTTGTTTTTAATTTTTATTTTATTTTTTGAATTTTTTTTTGTGGTGATGGAAGGGATGGGGATGTTTGGGGTACACCAAGGTGTACCCCTAGCATTTTCCGGGATATTAAGGCAAATTTAATTTGATGTGGTTGGAGTAAAGAGAAAGTGAAAAAATGATTGAAAAACTAGAGATGGATAGGGTAAGTGATTTTACAAGGTAAGTAAGTTTGAAGAAGATAGCCTAAAAGTAATTGAAAAATTCGGATATGTTATGTTAAAAAAAGAAGTATGACCTTAGTTTGGATTCTCAATTTGGAAAGTGTGACTCTTTTTCGTATTTTCATTCCTCATTATTACAACATCCTCCCTCCGTTTTTAAAACCATTCCTCTTTCATTTTTTTGTTTTTTCTTAAAATATTTCCTTTTTCTATTAAAAAATTACTTTTACCCCTACTTTTTCATACCTTACATATATATCACATCACACTTTTTCACTAATAACTAAACTATCACATCTTACTTTTACACATCACATCAGGGGCAAAATGGGAAAGTCAACTAAAATTATACTTTCCTTATTTTTCTCCAAAATCAAAACAGGAACCGTTTTAAGAAACGAAGGGAGTATAAAAGATGTGCTCGTCATATTTTTATGTAAATATTATTTTTAAATTCTTACACAAACTTTTATATTCTCTCTGTCTCTGTTTTGATTACAGAATGTGGATTACGAGATAAAATCTTAGAATTTTTGAAATTATTTTATTTACAAATTGGTACATCAATAAAAAATAAAAATTACATGTTCAAAAATTACACCAAAATTTCTACAAAACAAGAGGTGATAAGAGTATTTTATTTTGCCAAATAATCAATGGAAACACAGAACCAAACAAAAGTTATTGGAAAGAGAGAGAAAATAAAATTGTAATCAAAATTGAGACAAAAAAAATTACTCCCTCCGTCCCAAAAAGATTTACACGTTTCAAAAAAATTGTGTCCCACAATCCCTTACCCATTTCTATTAAAAAACCACTTTTGCCCCTTACTTTTTCAAACCCTACCTATCAAATCATACCTTTTTCATAATAATCTACACATCACATCCTACTTTTACTCATCACATCAAGGGTATTTTTGGAAAGTCAACACAAAATTATCGCTCCCTTAATTTTAACTTTAGTCAAAATGGGTAACACTTTATGGGACGGATGGAGTAGTAAAAATCATCCATAATTGAAGACCATTTATAAAGTTTTTTCCTATTTTAAAATAGGATAATTCTATTTGTACCTCATTTTGTACACTGCAGGGATGCACTGACATTTTGTGTTGGTGTAATGTTAATTTTTGTTAACGCACTAAGGGGCTGTTTGTTTTAGTCTCTTAATGGTTCAAATGTCTGAATGGTTCTGCACTTAATGGTTTAGACTGTTTGTTTCGGCCTCTTAATGGTTCAGATGTATGAATGGTTAAGAGATTTGCCTCTGAATAGTTAAGTATTATAGAGAGTCTGAATGATTAAGACCTCTTATCTGAATTGATCAGACATTTGCCTCTGAATAGTTAAGCAATATACTAGCTCTTAATGGTTCAAACCTTTTACTGGTTCAGCATTTAATGGTTCAGACCTCTTACTGGTTCAGCACTTACCTATTCAGAAGTTTCCAAACAGTCCCTAACACTTTGTATCAGTGTAAATTTTTGTTAAAGCACCAACACTTTGTCTCAGTGGGAACCATTAAAATGTTGATGCATATCTTGGGTGTACAAATGATATACTCCCTCCGTCCCAGAAAACATGGGAGTTTTGGTTTTGGAGAGGAGTTTAAGAGGAGTGTATTTTGGTATTGAATTTCCAAAAAAATCCTTTGATGTGATGAGTAAAAATATAATTTGGTGGATAGATTATTAGTAAAAAGGTATGATGTGATAGGTAAGGTATGAAAAAGTAAGGAATAAAAGTGACTTTTTAATAGAAATGAGAAGTGTTTTTTGAGACGGATGAAAAAAAAAGAAAGATTTGGTAAGAGGGAGGGAGTACAAATTTTGGGTATAGCAACCTTCTTAAAAATAACTTCAACCAAAACTTCTGAACCAAACCGACAAAAGGATCACAAGTAGGTCTTTTTTTGTGGGACATGCATGGGGATACAGTATTGAATAGGTATGGTGTTTATCCGTGGTAGAGTGAGTAGTGCTCTGCCGTACACCGCCGTCGCCTTCACGAGACCTTTTATTAATACCTCACGTGAGGAGACCGATCGTCAAAACAAATTAAACTCCAAAGAAAGAAAGAAAGAAACTGCGGGCAGAGGCCGGAGATCATATCGATCAATATAAAAAATGAACCCTTGGCCATCAGCTCCTCCGGCGCCGCCGCCGTTTACCGGTGACGATTCAAACGCGGCGGCGGGGGAGAAATCCTCCGGGGAAAAAATATTCCACAATATACTCCTCATGTCATACAAGTACAATGACAACAATAACCTCATGCTCGCCGCCGTCATCTCATTGCTTCTCGTTATCCTCATCGTCTTGCTCCTCCACGTCTACGCCAGGTGCTTCTTCTCCCCCTCTCGCCACCACCGCGTCGCCGCCGATAATCACGTCGTCCTCGTCGGCATCACCCCGGCCGCCTTGCCGGAAAATAAGCGCAAGGGTCTGGGGAGATCGGACATTGCTAGGAATATTCCTCTTTTTGTGTACGAGGGAAATGGGGAGGAAGAAGAAGATGAGGGGTGTGTGATTTGTTTGAGTGGCTTTGAGGATGGAGATTTGGGAAGGAAGTTGCCCAAATGCAGCCATGCATTCCATGCAGATTGTATCGATATGTGGCTGTTTTCCCACCCTTCTTGCCCGGTTTGCCGTGCTCCGGTGGTTACGGGTGGCGATCTAGAAAATGACGGCGGCGGAGAAGCAGCTTCTGCGGTTGTTCCGCCGTAGCTTCTTCGTTAGTTTTAAAATGGTTAATTATTATGTGATTAATTAAATGCGTAATGAACTACAATTAGAAATTAGAAAACGCATTCAACAAAAACGGGAGAGCCATTATTTCGATCTATCTTCATTCTCTTGTTTTCTTGTGTTGAAGGCATCACTAAAATTGGTTTCATCAACTTCCTCTTACCTAAATAAACTTCCACTCTCACTTTTTTTATGTCTCCAAATAAGTTTTTCTTTTCCCTTAGAAAATTTCTTTTACCCCTTGCTTTTTCATACAATATCTATCGCATCATATCTTTTTACTAATAAGCTACATATCACATCTTATTTTTACATATTCCATCAAGGATATTTTTGAAAATCAATATAAAAATATCTCTCCCTTAAATTTTCAAAAAGTCAAAAAGAGAAGTTTATTTAGGGACGGATGGAGTATATTTTTTTCCTAATGTAGTACCACTGTTCAATGCCCACTGATCATTGTTCAAGTAAATGTCTATCGTCATTTAACATTTGTTCAAACTAAATATCCACCATTACTGGATATTATTTTTGCTACTAAACATTATTCAAGTACTACTTGAACAGTTAAAAGCTTTAAGTGCTACATTGAGAAATGACATATATTTTTAGTACTATTTAATGTAAATTTCACTTTTTAAATTAACTCATTTAAATTGCACAAAGAGTTTTGCTATATCCACCCAATTTTGGTCCTTGCAAAATATTTTAAAACCAAAATATTTTAAAACCAAATAAAGTCGTTTTATACGGAAATATTTTAGAAAGACAAAAAGCAGAAAACATCACAAAGAATATATTTAACCATTCTTTCTTTTGTCCTTTTGAGATTAAAATTGTCAATTTTAGAATAATGAAGTGCATATAGCAACGTGCAACTAACACCTTTTAAAAAATTGTCAAATTAAGAACAAACTCAACCAAAAGTTCAAGCTTGTGGTTGTGGCAAAAAAATGTTTCTTATATTTTAACACGCCCTCACGTGCTTGTGTAGTCTTTTTTCGAGCATTGCACGTGAAATCTTAATTTTCTTAAAATTTGATGACGCTGAATTTTGAACTTATGACCTCTTTATCAACAAGGCTCCAAGAACTAATTTAACGAAAAACTCAAGATTGTAGTAGGAATGGACTCTAACCCAGCAAATTTTCAAAAAACAAAATTATAAGAACGAAATATAATTTGTCAACACATGGTTTTAACTTTTAACTTTTAACCAAGACATTTCTTAGTAGTGATAACAAAATGAGAAATGTAAAGCATGAATTGAAAAGTACTCTCTCCGTCCCTCTAAGATATTCTTATTTTGACTTTTGGTGGTTTTTAAGGAGAGTTGAAATAAGGTGAAAGTTTACCATAATATCCTTAATGAAAAAAGGGTGGAGTGTATTAAATAAGGTGTGTGGGGTGTAATAAATAAAGTAAGTGGGAGTAGTTGTGGTATTTTAATTGTTAAATAATGAAATGAGAAAATCTATTGTGGACAAAGAAAAATGGCTATTGGGAAGATCTATGGGGGACGGAGGGAGTACATTACATTATTACATCAATATCTATCGGAGAATAAGAAGAGAAATTATAAAAATATCAAATAAGAACTTAAGAAGTAATTTATAAAATCAATGAAAAGATAAAAAAATAAAAGATATCATTAGTAGGATTCGGTTTTAAATGGTTCGGTTTGATTTTTAAACACCAAAACGAAAAACAAAATGGAATAGAAATTGTTCGTTTATGTTTTTGTGTTCAATTCTAATTTTTTCGGTTCAATTTTTATTTTTATACAATTCAATCGAGGACCTATTTTGGTAAACCCCTAGCTTTATTCTTCAATCTATCTAGGTTCAATTTTCGATTTTTTTATTTTTGGGACTGAGCCCAATCAAAAATGACTATTCAATGTACTCAAAATACTCTCTTCGTCACAGAATATTTGTTCACTTTTGACTTTTTTTGGTCAAAATTAGTAAAATTTGATCCTAAATTAAATAAAAATGATACGGAGTACTCCTTATTATGTATTGGGAAGAAATTAGTCTTAGTATGGCGTACGAGTAGACCAACTCATCCGTGCTCGTAGGAATTTTTGACCCATTTATGTGCTAACCCAAACACAAACCCGACCCAAAAGGGATAATCTCAATCCTAACCCTGGGACCGAATCGAAGGTTCCAACTTCCAAACGCACAACTCAAAGACGGGTAAATCTCCACCGGGAAATTAAAGGACACACGAAAAATGAAGACGGAGGAGAGGGAGACGACGGTCGGGCAAGGAAAGGAAACCTACAATTTGCGTTCCAGGGTGGTTTATTCCGTCACCTCACCACCACCAGAAGAAGGCCGCCGCCGCCGTAGATTATCACAGTAAGTTTGTTTCCCCTTCTTTCGCCGTGGATTTGCTGTCGGTGGTGATCGATCGAGAGCCACAGTTTTGTTTTTGTATTTGTGCGGAAAGAAGACTAATTTGGTCTGTCTTTTACTTGAATATAATGTCCTGCGGGTGAATTCTACTCCTTAGTCCCACGAAATCATTCCCATTTTGACTTTGGTAAAAAATAAGTAAAGTGTAATTTTGGTTGACTTTCCAATTTTGGTCCTGTGATAGAAAAAAGTAAGGTTGATAGTTTGGTTATTAGTGAAAAAGTATGATGCGATAGGTACGATATTAAAAAATATGGTTAAAATTGGTTTTTAAATAGAAATTGGAAGTGTTTTGTGGAAAGCAAAAAACGAAATGGGAAGAGTTTTGTGAAACGAAAGGAGTATTCTTACTTTAGCTGTTTTTTTTTTGGGGGGGGGGGGGGGG